TCTAGATCCATCTCACAAGGTTCTTTACCATGGCCCGCCCATCATCTTTTCTCAGGTTGGAGGGAATGAACACGACTGCTTTCCCTTTACACCAGAGAGAATGGATATTTGTTTACGCAGCGATTCTGTTCTGAAGGTTCTCTCCCTCAATGATCTTTTGGGCCTTAGTGACACTGATGTTCTATTCAATATTTTCAAGGATGCTCAGATTACCATTTCCAAACTTAAACAGAAATTTGTGTGGCTTTACGTGTGCTCTGATTGCACAAGTTTAAGGAAGGTTCGGGAGGTTCACGAGGAATGTAGACAGCAAAATTATGAGCTGGAGATTGTCGTGGTTTGCTGCCCCTTCTATAGGCAGGTGCCCCCACACTTGCATGAGGGGTGGATCATTGAAGCTCTTGCAAAACTTAAGCTGCTAGGCTGGTTTTTTTTCCCCTTCAACAACACCGTATCCCATAGGGTAAGTAGAATGTGTGAAAATGGCAGCCATGAGGAAGGTCTTTTAATAGTGGATCCCATTGAGAATTATGTGGATCCCTATGGATTATCAATCATCCGTGACTTTGGCATGGATGGTTATCCCTTCACCAGGAGGAATTTGGTTGAGAAGGAGTTTCAAAGGATAATGGGACTGAGATTGAACTCATTACTTCTTCCATTGGAATATGCTTGTCGCAAGCGTGGTTCCAGCTCCTTCGTTATGGTTCGTGTGGAAAATGGGCTTAAGAACAAGACTGTTGTTCTTTATCTGTACACAGAGGAGAAATTTCTAGGTGATAAACTGGCTAAGTGGTACAAAAATAATATCAAAGGAATGCATTCAAATGGTGTTGAGGTGGTTGCTGTAAGCATAGATGGCAGCCGCACTAGTGATAAACACTTGATGGAAAAGGGGTGGTTGGTATGCCGTGCAGACCCATCCAAGGCAGCTAAACTCTGTGATGAATACTTCCATCCTCTATGCGGGCGACACGAGACTCTTGTTGCATTTGGTAAAGATGGCCTGATCCAATCTATGGGTCCGAGTCACATTTTGAAGTGTCGAGCTCCTCCTTTCCATGGCAAGCTACGTGAAGAGATTGCTCAGAAATTTGAAGACGCTGGGTTTCAGTACATGCGAGACTATGACCACTACTCCCAGTGAATGGTTTGCATCCAATTCAATTTGGAAAGGATGTCCTGGCTATGATTCCACCTTTTCACTTTGTTTTTTTTGGTCTCCTTAGTGATAAAGAAAAAAAGATATTGTGAAGTAATAGCCCCTGTGTTGTTTGGAAGAATGGAAGAATTTTGGACCACATCCCCTTTTCCAAAGGGAAAAGAAAGGATATGATAAATAAGGAAATATTTTGGGATAGATGGAAAAGTTTAGCTAGCATGTTTTGCCCAACAAAGGAAGTATTTCTCTGAGAACATATTATTCATTTTGAGAGTTCTGAAAACTACTTGAAAAGATTTTCACTTTGTTCATTGATAACTTCAAGCGGGTTTCTTTGGTGCCTTTGCAATGGAGATTGCATTCCTACTCCTTCATTCATTGATTGACACTTGTACTTCTTATATCACTTAATAGTACATAAACTTAGGCCCCGTTTGGCATCAGCGTCAGAGATTAGCGTTAGCGTTTTGAAAAAGCTATCCGACGGTAGCTTTTAGCGTTAGCGTTTTCAGAATTAATTTGAACCGTTAAAATTTTATCCAAAACGCTAAAGCTAATCGAAAACGCTGTTACCAAACAAAGCCTTAACACCCTTTTATTTTATTTTTTTAAATTGCAAGACTTCCCCAATCTCAATGCTAACCTACATACTTCACTTACGATTGGTTTTTTGAACTATTTTTTATATTGTTATTGGTTATTATTTTATTTAATTTCTTCCTGTTATTTAATTACGGCCTCTTATTTTAGTTTTGTATTCTACACCAATCTTTTTTTAAATTGATAATAACATACATGCCAATGGATATGATGTTCCCATCGTTGGGTAAGAGTGTCATCGGTAGGTAAGAGGGTTTGATTGGAGAAAAAATATTTCTCTGGAAAAATAATTTTTTTAGAGAAATTTGTTTTCAATCATATTTTCCGTTGTTGAGTAGGAAGGGAAATAAATTAGTTTCTATTATAAATATTTAAAAAATTTTATTGAAAAAGATATTTCGAGACTATTTAATACTCCAATAATATTTTAATAGCATAAGGGTGATGCATGGTAGATGGGGGACTGGGCCAAGGGTGGTTGGACAAAGTTCATGGCGGGTGGAAAGTGAAGAAGGAAATGGGTGGAGATTGGGGGCTGGGCAGATGGGGGTGAGAGAGGGATAGTTGGCGGGTGTATTTTTCGAAAGTCAAACTAACCTTTTTTTTGTTTTGACTTTTTTATTTAAACAATGATACTTTTTTTTATTACAAATTAAACGTAATCTAGATATATAAAAATAAAAATTTGATATATCAAAAGGACTACATCTTAAGATGTACTCATTTATGTTGAATTTATATTATAAGTCAATATATTTTTCTTACCAGTTATATTATAAAAAATGTTACTGTTTTATTAAAAAAATCAAAATAAGAAATGTTTATAAACCAGAGTATGAAATATAATATGATAAATTAGTGTTTTATAATACTACTCTACTTTGGTGGTATCAAACTAAATTGTTATTGTTGAATGTTACTCCCTCCGTCCGGTTTTAAATCGCCCGTTTTGACTTTTGGGCATATTTAAGAAAAATTAAAAATAGAGTTGATTTTTCAAAATTGTCAATACTTTTTAAGATGGATGATGATGAATGAGAATATAATGTGGAGAAGATTGACTTATTTTAGATGTAGTTTAGGTATTTTATTTTTAAAAGTTTACGAAAACAACTAACAGACAACTTATTTTGGGACGGAAAAAAAAGTCAAACAGGCAATTTAAAATGAGACGGAGGTAGTACTCCGTATAATATTATTATTTTCTTATTACTTTTTTTTAGTAGCTACCAAACCCATCATGTAGTATCTATTCACTTTTTTTAATCTCAACATTTTTTTAGTTCTCTTTAGTGTATACATTTTTCTTTCTGAATAGGTTTTCAAAGACATCATATTGTTATCACATTTAAAAAAACATATTTAAATTATTTACATCGCTTATACTCCGTAATTTTTTTGTATGTCTAAAATTCATTAAGATTAAAAAAAATTGATAACTTTAACATATACTTTTGATGTTTTTGTTTTTACTTTGGAGAAAAATATGTTGTCTCAAAAGGAGTACATGGAAATGAAAGATAAGCCTAAAACAAACTGAGTTGCTAGCCATTTTTTTTATGTAAAATATACTCCGTAAGTGCTTATCTATATATAAAGATCATCATAAATAAGACTAAAACATAGAAGAAGTACCAAAATAGGAGTTCTATGTTTTTTCCTAAATAGAAGTTCGCATTGTAATAATGTGGCACTGTGCATATGTATTTTATTTAATGTACACAGTCATGATTGATAATATAAGTCCATTTTAACTCCTATTTTAGAAATAAAAATATGGAACTCCTATTTTGGTACATTTTTAACATTGTACTCCTACTTTAGTCTTTTTCTCTATAAATATAAATATCTTGAAAATGAAGCTTATAATTAACATGTCGAGTCAACCCGAAAACGAGGAAACCTTCAATTCTAAACTCGAACTCAAACTTACCCAAACACGATCTTAGCTGAATTCTTTTACACAAAATCTAGTTTTACACTCCGCACCACGAATTATGATTTATGATTTAAAAAGCAAGCAAAAAAATTATACATGGATATATTTTATGAACATTCAATATTTCAAAGTTACGATTCTTAAAAAAATTATTGATATCATACTTATATCGAAATACAAAGGGGTAAACTTTGACAAAAAAAAAAGTAAAAAATCACATCAAAATTCCAAAGGTAACCATTTAATGCAGAGTGACAACATAGAATGATATTGTTCAAATGAAATAGTACTCCCTCCGCCCCATTTTATATTGTCCGTTTTAAATTTGGAGCATATTTAAGGAAGGAAAAAAGTGGTGTTGATTTTTCAAAAATGTCTTACTTTTTTACAGGGTGGTGATGAATGAGAAGATAAGGTGGAGAGGAGTGACTTATTTTAGAGATAATTTAGGTATTTTACCCTTAAAAGTTTATTATTATAAGAAACAGACAACTTATTTTGGGACGGTCAAAAAAAGAAAACAGACAATTTAAAATAGGACGGATGAAGTACCATTATAGTATTATGAAGATCCAATTTTGCGAAAAAAAATGTTTATGGCACTTCATTTAAGAAGCAGAAGGAAGACAAAAAAGGCAGACCCAAAAAACATATGGGAAGAAAGGTATGGTGACAATAATCCTGCCATGCCAGAATCTTTGGTGACACCATTTTACGCTTTTTATATGAGCTTTTTCATGGTTATAAAAGCATGAACACAAAACATACACAATACCTCCTCTTTTCTAACATATACAGATCATATTGCACCACTTGATAATGATAACAACAACAACAACAACAAAACACACCCACAACCATTTATTTCTCTTTCTGAATCCAAACACAGTTGAGAGTGATTAATATGTATGGTTCCCCTGATTTCAATCCTACCGTATCCCTATCCTTGCCAAAGTCTTGACGAATCACTACGGTTTTCTTGCAATCAACTCGTTCCCAAGGATCACTCCAACAACCAAACCACTTACGAACCCAATCGATATTATCATCCACTCTATTTTTAAGTCTGATTTCGAGTCATCGCCTTCTTCTTCTGAATGGGATGGAGGCTGCTGCAGTTGGGGCGAAGACCTCGCGTTTCCACACAGTTTATTCCAAGGTTCAACAAACAATCCTACATTCCCTTCAAATGATTTGGGGTCAAAGGTGCAGAACTAGTGTCCTTGGGGTATAGTGTTGGGGATTATGCACGCAACACACACAAATATCTGCGAGAATCAAGAGAGAAACGGAACACAAACGACACACAAGAATTTATCGTGGTTCGGTTTCCCTAATCCACGGCTGCAACGGGAGGATTTTCTTATTTCACTTGTGGTACCGATTACAAGTACAAGAATGCAATATATATAGGAAGAGTGCATCTAGGGTTTCGTAAAATGGGTCGGGCCAAAAGTCAAGCCCAAGCCTCCACAAACCCAACATTCTCCCACTTGGAGGCTTGATAGTCAACAACTGCCATCCACCACGATTCCAGGTACATCGAGTAATCTTCCTCAGCTCTCCTATTGCAGCGGCCCTAACATCAGACAACTAAAAGGCCCGTTGAAGCTCTCCCAAGCTCCAACACATCAGTCACGGCAAAATCTTCCCCTGACTCGTCCTCGGTCCCTACCGGCTCCCACTGCAGACGCACACTGCCGGATCCTGGAACATCTTGAGAACAAACACTCTCCATACTCAGCAAGAAATTTTCTGGAGATGTTCCAACAGCTGGAATACTGGTTCTCCTGACCCACTGTCTTCTAGGCAACTTGGCTGAAGCGCCTCTTGAGCTCCCACTGCCACAAATACCTCTAACTGGCCTCCTTGAACCTTTCCACGCTCGTTCATCCTGAGTCTGACCAGTGGCTCTAGGTTTCTCTCTTGCACAGACAACCTTATTCTGCCCACGAGACTCTGTGAACCGGACTTCGTTTTTCTTCTGAACTGGGACGGTCACTCCCTCAGATGGTAACTCGACCATATACAACGAACCTCTCTTCCTTCCACGGGCCATGACAAGATTTCCCTTCACGACCTTCCACTGCCCATCTCTGAACTT